AAAAAAAAAAAAATAGGGAAGAAAGGAGGAAGATAAAGAGTTGAACAAAAGATTTCAAAGGGTAGCTCACAAATATAAAGCAAAGTATTATAATGAAATATGCAAAGAGCTGGAGTCAGAAAATCGAAAGGGAAGAACTCACTTGGCATTTCTCAAGCTCTAGTTCAAGCCATAATAAGTTCCAATGCTTAAGGATGCCATGAGCAATATATTGAGATATCCAGGAAGCATCAAAAGAAGATGGAAGGAATAGAGTCAGTCATTGTACCAAAAAGAAGTGGCGGACACAGACCTTTTCAGGAAGGAACATATGATCAACAGGCAGTGATGATGCAGGAGGAAGTTTAAGCTTCTCTGAAGGAATTGGCAAAAAAAAACGAGGCCCCAGGAACTGATGGAATACCAATTAAGATATTTCAGCAAACACATCCATCCTTGGCTGTGCTCATCAGGTACAAGCAGTCAAGATATTGGGAGATAAATAGCTTTGGGGGAATTTACAGTCAGGGATCATTCCAAGTCATGAAAAGCGATGATGCCAGATAAGCCTGAATCAAACCACAGTCTTTCCCATCACCTACTGTGCATCTGGGATCTGGATAATGAATAAAGACGTCAGGAGATGAAGTGATGCCTTTGAGTTGTGGTGTTGGAAAAGAGTGCTTAATATTCTTGGACTGCTAAGAGAACAAGGTCAAAAGAACAAACAGACATGTCTTGGAGAAAATGCAGCCAATATTTCTTGGAGAAAAAGATGGCAGTACTTTGTCTTACGTATTTTGTATGTTAGGAGAGGCTATTACTTGGAAAGGGACCTCATGCTTGGAAAGGTAGAGGGTCAGCTAAAGAGAGGAAGACCCTTGAAGAAGAATTGGTTCAATGGGGCTATGTACTCAAATGTGTTGAGGATGGTAAGGATGATGCAAGAGAGAATAGAGTTCAGATCTATTATTTATAGGGTTTGTTATGAGTCATACTCAACTTGATGCCACTTAACAATAGCGACAACTATAGCTAATAATTGTATATTTTCACGTGTTTGTTAGCTTTAGTAAAGTGTCTATTCGTGTCCTTTGTCTAATTTTTTTTGTTTTAATTTTTTAATTGTGATTTTTGTGAAAGTTTACAGTAAAGTTAGATTTCCATTCATTCATTGATTGATATGTATTTCTCCCTCCTCCTTCCTCAATTCACCCTGTAATGCACTTCTTGTTCTAGATTGTTAATTGTCATGCATATAATGCCTACTCATCCATTGCTTTTAGATAATCTGTTTTTATTTATGCCAGATGATTTATGTTTTATTATTGAAGATTTCTATATATTTTAAAAAATAGTACCTTATAAAATATGTTATTGCCAAGAATCTTTTCCTAATATGTAGTTTGTTCTTTAAACTCTTTTGAAAAAGTCTTTTAATGAGCATGAAAATACTTGATACACTTCAAGTGATTATTAGAGAAAGAGCTACTATGGCTAACAGGTGTTATAACCTAGTACATTTAACATTTAAAAAAAAATACACCTAAAATCTTGATAATCACTGATTCCTTTTAGCAAATGCATTTTATGGATTAAAGAAATATCATTAATGTTTTGTAGCCCAAAATTAGAGATCTCTGTTGGCCTAGTGGCAAGAAGCTGTGCTGCAATCTTGAAGGCACATGGTTTGAGACCACACACTGCTCTGCTGGAGAAGGCTGGGCAATCTTCTCCTGTGCCATTAACTGTCTCTGAAAACCTGCCAGAGGGTCAGCAATGGGTTGGTCTGACTCTATGGTATACAAGACAACAGTCCAAAATTAATGTGTAGCATAGAGTAATATTTTACATTAGAAAGAAATATGTCTGTCTATCTATCTATTATCTATCTATCTATCTATCTATCTATCTATCTATCTATCTATCTAGATTCTTCTTGTAGTGAAATAGCAAATAAAAAAATTTCAACTTTAAAGCAATAATGGGAAATTTTTCTCCTAGAAATTGGATTTTTAATTTTTTCAGTATAAAATGTTACTATAATGTTTGAGAAAAGCAAAATAATTTAAAGATAATTACTACTACACAGAACAAATAAATATGTTAAATGCTCAATTTAATCTCATCTGTATCTTAACATTGCTAAATAGATACCCCCTCACCCCTACCACTGTGCCTATTTCTTGGGAGGAACTGAATAAAGCATTAAGATTATTTGTCTTGTCGCAACTAGATCAACAAAGTGTTGATATTGAACCAACTTTATACCGAGCCCTTTATTAAAATATTCGCTCAAATTGTACCTGCTCCATACAATTACTATATTCCCATGAGATAGATTTCAATAGTACTCATTTTGCAGACACAAAATTGGAGATAAGAACAATTCACAGATACTAGGTACTCATACTATTACCTTGCAGATCAATACAACAGCAGAATTCCTAACAAATCGTGGTGTAATTCATGAGTTTATGGGTCAGAAACAGAATGCAATGAGAGACTATCAATTAGCAATTTCTCTAAACCCTAAGTACTCGCTGGCTTACTTCAATGCAGGAAATATCTACTTTAACCACAGGCAGTTTTCCCAGGTAATGTGAGTTTTCATTAACATTTTCTTTTTGCCTTGAAATGTTTTCTCTTTTTGTGTAGTGTAAAAATATAATGCTTGTATCCCAATAGACAATAGACAATCATTCATTGTGTTGTTGATTGCCATCAAGTCGAGCATGATTCATAGAGACCTTATAAACAAAAGATTTGAAGTCTTTCTGTAATTATTGTTGTTTTTCAAAATTCATAGAGTTTCTAAAGCATATTGTTTAGGAAGTGGATGCCGCTCCTGCTTCCAAAATCATTCATTAGCTCTTATTTGTTTTTTCAAAACATAATGTTATCATTCACACAGATTTATAATTAATTTTTATAAAATTTTATAAAAGAGTATTAATATACTTTTGTAGACTTATTGTACTAATTGTCATCAAGTTTTCAACTCTTCAATTGTCCCATGAACAGTGTTTTGGCATTCTTTAATTCCACTGTTAATAGATTTCCATCATGGAATCCTTCATCTCTTACTTTCTCATGAGCTTCCTTTATAATATGAAGACTGTCTAAGTATTAGTCCCTTGAGCACTGACCTGGTAATAAAAAGTCTTGGCTTTTATCTGGTTTTGTGTGAACCTAAAGGGCCTCTGGAGGCTTAGTGGTAGAAGCTGTATTGCAATCCTAATGGCATGCCATTCAAATCCATCTGTTGCTCCATGGGAGAAGGATGGACAGTCCCCTCCCATGCAATTTACTGCTTCTGGAAACCCGCTGCAGCGTCAGCTATAAGTCAGTTCTGACTTGATCACAATGAGTTTGAGTCTGAGCTATAACAGAATTCCTATTACCTAGAGATTTAAAAAATAATTTTATTCAAAATTCCTTACATTAACAAAAACCGTTTGAACAAAAATTCAAAGCAGAAAATAATTTAGTCTTGAAAGAGATAAAATACCTAACAAATCCCATATAACTGTCAATGTACCAGAATTACAAAAGTTAAGCTCTTAGCTGCAAAAACCAAAAGGTGTGTGGTTTGAACCCATCTAGCATCCCAGAAAGAGAAAGATCTGGTGATCTGATAATATAAAGATTATTGCCTAAGAAATGGAACCATTTGTACTCAGTCAGGTGTCACTCTCTTTCATAATCTACTTGATTATATCGAATAACATGAGACTATCTGGGTAGAAGGCACAGATGGAGAGGAAAAATGGTTGTAAGGAGCAAACTCTAGGTTAATACCAATGTTTAGAAATAGTGCAGAAATGTGGCACCGGAAACTGGTTTGTTGCTGTTCAGATTCACTTTACAAAAAAAATTGTTGTTACATTTCTGTTTATCTCTTACCTCCTCATTACAATTAATGAGGTTTTAAGGTCAGAGACCATACTCTAGCCTCTTTCACTTAGTTTTCTTGCTCAAAAACTTGTCTATTTCCATGGTGCCAGCATTTTAACCCTCAATATCTATCATAGATCGAAACAATCCTTCAGACAGAACAAGGAGATGTTATGAGCTTTTATATCAGAGAAGGTGTGAATTAGGGTTGCGTCCTTTCACCCTGTTTACTTAATCTGTGTGCTGAGCAAATAGAGAAGTTGGATTACATGAAGAAGAAAACGGGACCAGGATTGCAGGAAGAAGCACTCAACCTGCAACCGTGCAGATCACACATTCTTGCTTGCTAAGAGTGCAGAAGAAAGAGACATTTCCTGACGAAGATCAAACACTTCAGCCTTCCATATGAATTACACCTGAACATAATGAAAACAGAAGTTGTCACAGCTGGTGCAATAAGCAACATCATGATAAAATGAGGAAAGACTGAAGTTGTTAAGGCTTTCATTTTACTTTAACCTGTAAATTAGTTTTCATGAAAGCAGCACTCAGGACCTGAAACGGCTTATTGCATTGGACAAATCTGCTGTAACATCCTCTGTAAAGTGTTAAATGACAAAGGTATCACTGTCAGGATCAGGGTACAGCTGATTGAAGCGGTGGGATTTTTTTCAGTTGCTTCATGCACATGCAAAATCTGAGCACTAAATAAGGAATACAAAAGAAAAATGCATACCTTTGAATTAGAGTAATGATGTTGGTGAACAGTATTGAATATTTCTGTCAGAAGAAGCAAATCTGTCTTGGAAGAAATAGAGCCAGGATGCTCTTTGGAGGTAAGCATGGCGAAACTTTGTATTACATATTTTGGTTGGGCAGACCAATCCCTGGAGGACCACAACAAGCAAAGGAGAGAATCGGGAAAAAGAAGAAGATTTAGAATCCCGAAAACACTCGGTTCCAATCCACCAGCTGCTCCGCGGAAGGAGGATGGCAATCTCCTCCCATGCGATTAACTGCCTCTGATACAAGCCGCTGGAGGTTCACTATGGGTTGGTTCCGATTCTATGGTACACAACAACAATAGAAGATGGTGTAACACATTGGCTGCAACAATTCTAAATAATGCCAGCAATAAAATACTACTCCATACAGGGAGGCCCTTTCTCCCATCTTCTCGTACACGACGAGAAGTTGTGGCTGTTAAGTGCCGTGGAGTTGATATCAACTAAAGTTGGCCCCGTAGAATAAAGCACACCCTGATCCTGTACCATCCACATAGGAGGAATGGCATCCTTGTATGAAGGAGTATTTTCCTGCTGATATTGTTTAGGATTGATGACCTATGGTGATGATAAGAAAACAAAACTAATGATAATAATAATAAATGTGGCTTTATAAAAATTTTCTCTCTATATAATGCCCCCCCATTCCATATTCTGTGCTTTGAAAGGCTTCTACTGACCCTTTTGGTACCAAGTGACCTTTCTTTTAAATTAAAAGTGCTTTAAATTTCTGATTAAATGTACCCAATGGTTTTTATTTTAAATTTATTATTAATTTCAATGAAAATTTACAGAGACTTTGGATTTCCATTCATTCATTGTTTCACTTTTCTCACCTCCCAGCCCTTCCCCCCCCCCAGTACACTACCCTCTTGGAAAAGTAAAAGAATTCTTCTTCCACTGTTTTACAATCCCTCCCCCGAGGTCCACTCCACTATACAGCCTTCGTTCTGGACTCTTGTCATGACAAAAATACCTAATCACGTATCCCTTTTAAACAGTGTTCTTCCCATCATCTGTTTCAATGCTGTATACATTATTGAACCCATCTTTCTCAGTCTACCCCCAACCCCGAGGTCAGTCCTGTTTACAAAAGTGGCACCATGCAGTATTTGTCCTTTTGTGACTGAGATACTTCACTTAGCATAATGTCCTCTAGAGTCACCCATTTTGAAGACTATTGCATGAGTTCCTTGTCTTTCAATGCAGCATAGTATCCCATTGTGTGAATATACCACAGCTTCTCTAGCCATTCGTTTGTTGATGGGCACTTAGGTTGTTTCCAACTCCTTGCTTTTGTGAACAAAGCCGTGATAAACATGGGTGTGCATATATCTGCTTGAGTGTCAGTTATAGTCTCTTTGGGGTATATTCCCAGTAGTGGAATTGCTGGGTCAAATGGTATCATTATTGGCGACTTTTTGAGAAAGCGCCACACCGCCTTCCACAGTGGTTGCACCGTTTTACACTCCCACCAACAGCGAATCAGGGTTCCAGTTTCTCCACAACCTCGCCAGCCATGTGTTGCTTGCTGTTCTGTTAAATTTTGCTGTTCTTACTGTGGTAAGATGATATTTCGGAGTTGTTTTGATGTATCCAAGTTTTTATCTTCATGTTTAATAGGCTGGTGATTACTTCTCAAAAGCTTTACAGTTTGATCCAGGAGATGAGAATGCTTTCATGAATCGAGCTGTTACAAATATAATATTAAAGAAATATGAAGAAGCAAAAGAAGATTTTACAAATTTGGTTGATATTTGTCCTTTTTGGGCTGCAGCATATTTTAACAGAGCAAATTTCTACTACTGTTTAAAGCAATACGAAATGGCTGAGGCTGATCTTACTAAAGGTATCTTGCAATTTCTTAATAGAATTACTTGTTGATGTGTTTCTTTTTAGGCTAAAAAAGGAGAAAACCAACAGGTCATTTACCTTGGTAACCTGCATAAAAATTTTGCTTTTTCCATAATGTATTTAGTGCAATCCATCTAGATTCCTATGTGTAATAAAATATATCTTAAAATTTTGGTAAGCTGAGCTATAGAGAATTATGAGAAATTCTGTACAAATAAGCCTTTCAAAGAACTACAGTTCTTTATTGCTTCAAGTCATTATTATTGGAAAAATGAAGTATTCTTAACTAAATTACTTTGTACATTGAAAGAAAAAGTTTTCAAATAGGTAATATTCAAGTTTTGGTCTTAGACAGTTTTGTTTTTAAAAACAAGACTACTTTGCAAGTGGTGTAGTGCATTAGACTGTTAACTGGAAGGTTAGCTGCTATGCAGGAAAAAGATGAACTGTCTTCTGGAAAGATTTATAGCCTCAGAAACCCAGTGGAGGGTGGCTGTAGCTGGAGACTACAAGATGGTATGGATGCAATGAGAGTGACTTAGATTTGAGAGAATAAAACATGTCTTGACATTTATTTTCTTCTTTTGCAGCTCTGTCTTTGAAGCCTGCTAATGCTTTAGCATATACTTTTAGAGCAGAAGTTCGTGGTAAAATAGGTTTGATTGAAGAAGCTATGGCAGACTATAAGCAAGCCCTTGATATTCAAGAACATGTCTCAGCTATATGATTACACAGAATACAATTTCTGTAGTACCTTTCACAGCTGTTCTTCCTGAAATGAAAACAGATTTGCTGTTTAGAGATTGCACAATCTTGATTGTTGTATTCATAACACTTATCTAAATCTAAATAAAAACAAATGTGGAGCTGATGACTACAATGAAACAGAAGTTTATTTATTTCTATCACATTTTGAGCAATATATGAGCAATGATGGCCTAGTCACATACTTGGAATAGTCTGTAGAGAATTGCACTGCTAACACAAAGGCAGCACATCTCTGATGATTCTAATCCACTGGTGATTCCATAGGAGAAGAACAGGCTGCCTCTTCCTGTGTGATTTGCAGCCTCCAAAAACTCACTGAAGGGTTAGCTATCAGTTGGTGCTGACCTGATGGTAATGAGTTTAAGTTTTTTAAAAAATACATATACAGGCTTGGATTCATCTGGTACTCGTATCTTTCCAACAGAGACATACTTTCCTCTTTATATGCTGTCTTTCTATCAGGGTAATGACAGGAATATTTTTGAGGACTGCATTTCTTTGATATCATTCCCTCTACCTTTTTATTACACATTTTAGAAACACATGTAAAAAGCTGTAAACATTTTCAGGAGACCCTGAGCGATAAAAATCGTTATATATTCATCACTAACCATAAAGGTTTGGGGTTCTAGTCCAACAAGATACCACTCAAAAATTTGTTGATGTGCTTCTCAAGGGTCATAGCCTTAAACACTCTACAGAGTGCAGTTCTCCTTGGCATCACATGGAACTGCTATGACCTAGTTTTGACTCTATGGCAATGGGTATGGTTTTAATTTTATTTTTTATAGAATGCCCCTGAGACATCATTGAGTGCAGGCTTTGGATTTTTATGCTGTTTTGATTTGTTTCACTTGGTTTATTTTCCTTCTTCGTTTTATTTCTAGTCTACCTCTAACTTCTCAAAGACCTATTTGTACTGGAATCAGGCATTTTGGAAAGAAATGTTCTGTTTCTACCTACCAAGATTCCTTGGTATGTAGTTTGTTTTATCAAGTTTTCCCAATAAAAAGTTGATTTTTTAAAAAAAAGAAAATTTTTATTTTATACTGGTTTACTTACAAAATTTGTTAGTTTTCACACTGGATCTTTCCCATTTCCTTTACTTACCTCTCCCTCTACCCACCAAATTGTAAAACCTACCCATCCTCACCTCTCTATTCATACCATCCTCACCTTGGATCCTCATATACCTTTTACTATAGTTATCTTTCTATTTCTACAATAATGATTTTCTACAGTATTTATATAGAGATAGAGATAGATAGATAGAGATAGAGATATATCTTACACTAGTCCTTATGGGACTGAGCTAGAAAGTTGATTCAAATGTGTAAGCCACTACAGAGGGTTTAAGACTAGGATAATTTTCTTGGTGTAATTTGTGAGGTCAGATGAAGATTGAATCATCATCTCTAGCAAGTTATTTCAATTGGTGACTGGTAGGTTTACGGAGTTTCCAGAACCTTTAATCCCAGCTTCAGCCAGAAATGTGATTTAAATCAACTTGTACCAACAGCCCTGCAAATGCCTGACTTAACTCTTGTAAGTTACTTTCCCCCTTAATCTCTATTCTCTCCTCCTCTTGTCTTCACCATGCCATCTTGTGTCTTCTTTATCATCTGTGGATAGTCTTTTTCATCAAAATAAGATAAGGAAAGAAGCACAAGACATGAAAAACCTTCCCCTAGTATTGATTAATTTTCCTATGTACAATGGTGTAAAAATGTCCCTATTGCACTAATGAGAGAATAAATGATAAAAAACCTCTTTGTCATCAAGTGAGAACTGATTGATAATTGACCCTCAGGGGAAGTTACCCATTTTTTTTCTGGTGGATTCAAACCACCAAATAAGTGTGGCCTTTAGATTAGTAGCATAGTTCACTTTAGACTTATGCTGCCAGAGCTTCCTTGAGAGAATGGAGAGAAATATTCAGGGATCTGATGGCCATTCTCTTTCTCTCCCTCATATTCATTCTCTCTCTCTCTCTCTCTCACACACACACACATACACACACACACACACACACACACACACACACACACACACACACACTCTCACTCCCACACACCCACGCAGCCACCCACTCCATTGTTTCATGTTTCTTTGATTTTTGAAAATGAAGATTATGTTCTACCTTATTTTCTCTCCTCCTCTTTGAAATTCAGTAGATGACCAATAAATTATTGTTGTTGTTTGTTGTTATATGCCATCGAGTTGCCTGCAACTCATAGCTATGAAACTTCTCACATCCTGAGCCAATCTGATCATCTACAACAGACTTAATCCCATTCCTCCAATCACTGAATGAATCCATCTCATCGAGGGTCTTCTTCTCCTGTGCTGTTCCTCCACACATAATGTCCCTCTCCAAGGACTGGTCCCTCCTGGCCACATGCCCAAAGTATGTCAGACAGAGCCTCAAAATCCTTGCCTCCAGGGAGCAGCCTGGTTTCAGCCTCTCCAGGACAGGCCTGTATGTTTTCCTGGCAGTCCACAGTATGTTCAACACTCTTCTCCAGGACCACAACTCAAAGGCATCAATCCTTTCTCTATCATCTTATGAGCTCTGGTGACCTAGTGAAAAGAAGCTGCATCGCAATCCTGATGACACATGGTTTGAAGCTACTGCTGCTCTGTAGTAGAAGGATGAGAATTCTCTTCCCATGTGATTAATTGCCTCAGAAAACCTGCCCAAGGGTCAGCTATGGGTCGGTTCTGACTCTACAGTACACAACAACAACAACAAAATCCTTAGTTATTGTCCAGCTTTCAGATGCATACCAAGTAATTGTGAAGACCATGGCCTAGATCAGGCACACCTTTATCTCTAGACTGACACCATTGCTCTTCAATACTCTAGAGAGGTCCCTGACAGCATTGGAAACACAATTCGTCTTTTGATTTTCTGACTGCTGGTACCAAGAGTATTGATTATTGAGCCAAGCAAGGTGAAGTTATGAACGATCTCAATTCCTTCTACATCAGGTAATCTATAGTGTTACACTTTAAATGGTTGGAAATCTAGGTAGCTTAAAGTTTTTACTGTTTTTGTTTAGCTGAATTATCTAGTCATACTAATTTGTATCTTAAAACTAATTGTTGACACTTTATGCATTTTCCATATAATGATCAATTATCTATTTTTTATGGATAAAATATCAACTTCCTTTGATCATGTCTAATTAGCTTTGAAGTCTTTTTATAATATGATGAAAGGTGATTGTCAAAAGCAAGATATAAATAGTAATGTCATTTAAACTTTATTTGATTTTTTGTTTTAAAGAAGAAGGAAAGTTAGTGGTGGGTAATGTTATTTTGTTGTTGTCGTCATGTGCTGTCGAGTTGCCTGCGACTCATAGGGACCCTATGTTCAACAGCTCTGAACCCTGCTCTATTCTGAGCCAAACCCACCATCTCCAACACACCTACCTCCATTACTCCAGTCACTTGAGTCAATCCATCTCACTGAGGGTCTTTCCGTCCTGCACTATAATGTTGAAGGAGAGATAGGAAAAAAAGTTATTAAAATACTTAAAATTTTATGATGGTAGACACATTTATGAAAGAATATTAAGTGTTACCACCCTTTTAGAATTTCATTCCCTGCCTTCACATATGCTCCATGGCAACTTTAATGGTTCCTTTTCTGATAGTCTTATCAGCTGTCTTATTTACATTCTTCAATAAAACTCTAGGCAATCATTACTTATAGTATTATTATTTCTGTATTTTGGATATCAAATATTTTTTAAAGACATACAGAAAAGTTTAACTGAATTTTCTGCAAATTTTGTCATATTGTCTCAGTGAATGCTTCATTGTCAATAAATGCTCCACTCTAACCTACTAAAAATATTTCTTCAAAATAGCTCATAGTTTTAACAATTTATTTCAAAAGAAGGAATTGGTGAGAATAAATACCTAAATATTGTTCATTACTTTTCCCCCCTTGTTATGTACCATTGAGTCAGATCTGACTGGCACAGGAGGAGATTGCCCCTCCTTCTCCACCAGAGGATCTGGTGGGTTCAAATCACACCTTTGAAATTGCAGTGGAACTTCTTGCCACTAGGCCGCTAGAGCTCCCTAATATCTAATTATTGATCATTTATTCTTATTCTACCCCAAACAATCTCTATCTAACAATATTGCTTACATTACTTTTTTTAAAAGCAGTGTATTCCATAAGATCTTACTCCTGGAGGTCCTCCAATGTCATGGAAATGTTTTGTTAATCAATGTTTTAGAATCATTGATTTCCCAAAATAACAAGAAACTTAAAGACCATCTTCTGTGAGATCCCAGGCAATATTCAGCAATTTTTCCTCTTTGCCTACCTCAATCTTTGCCTAAATTTTTGAAGAATGGATTCCAATTAAGCCAAGAAAAAGGCTGAGATTTTCTTGCTATATATCTCCACAACACTACTGCTTGCTTATTCTTTTGAATCATCCAGCTGGTCACCCAAACAGAGTATTCTTTCACTAAAGCTTAGTCTTAGAAAAATGAAATTAGGAAAAATTGATATGCAATGGTTGATATCAGTCTATTGTAAAAATGACCCTGTGGGTTAGTCAGCAAGTGGGTCTAGAATCATGATCAGTATCTTATAGTAATCATTATCATTGGATGATGCTGCAACAATCAAACTGCAGCCCAATCAAGCATAGACAATACAAGACTATTCCATTAAAGATCTGTCCTTTTTTTAAAGAAATGTATCAATTGTGGGGCATAATGTGTGCTGGATCTTGAATGGGGAGGGAATCAGTAGACTAAGACAGTTCCTGGTTCTGTTTGCTGAAGAGGTGCTTTAAGTGGTGGATAAGAAGAGTTCTACCGTAGACCTCCTAACAGTAAAATTCCATAGCTTATGTAAAGTGGCCTGTTGCTGTAGTTCAACTCCAGTGACTCATTAAGGCCGTTCAGCTGATTTCCCTCCCCTCTAATCCTATTCGAGACGCCTTATAATACTAAAGAATACTTTAGTCTTCCACATGGGCATAAAGAATAATGTCGTTGTTAGGTGCCGTCAAGTCATGGATGACTCAGAGTGACCACATGAATGATAGACCTGAACACTTGTGTAACTTTCACCATTTCTCCAAGTTCATAGGGTTTCCAGAGACGAACTACTTTAGAAGTGGATGCCATTCCTGCTTCCAAGTTATTTTAATTGGGAAGCTCCACCAAATACTGTCCACCATGGGTAACCATTATTGCATTCGACACATTAGTGTCACAGTGTTCAGAATCACAGCAACCACAAGTGACCTCTGTACAACAAATGGACAGACCATGCTATACCACTTAGAAGAATGTTTGAACAAAAACAATTAAATCCAGGCCTGAGGGCCTCAGATTACAATCACCCACTTTTGGCTTGATAGCATCACTTTCTGTCCACTCGGCCAACTGATGGTTTCTGGGCAGTTTAAATGGTTTGCACTCTAGTGGGTCAGGAGTTGTGCTGTTAACCTAAAGGCAGGCTAGTTGATTTAACAGTGGCTCTGAAGGGAAAAGATAAGCAATCTTCTCCCATATGATTTACAGCCTCTGAAAATCCACTGGGGGGTCAACTATGAGTCAATTTTGACTCTGCACCAAATACTAACTAGGAAGTTGGGGTTTCTAACTAGCATGCAGTTACACACACACACACACACACACACACACACACACACACACACAATCTAAAAGTCTGGTGATGTTCTCTAAAGATTAGATCCCAGGAAAACTGAAGGAACTTGGTTCTACTCTGTTACAGGTGGGTTTTCCATGAGTCACAAATACATGGAAAAATTATTATAAATTAATTATACATATATAGATTACATGTATAATATTTTCACAAAAGATGTTATTTTCCTACACCAACTTTTAACTACGAGGAGAATGGATTGATCATGTATGTACTGTTGGTGTCTAGAGAGGACTCTGAGCTTGATCTGATGGGGCAGGAACCCTTCAGATGTTGAAAAGCATTGAGTCTCTCTTTATAATGTGGTATCTCTTAGGAAAGAGCTAGCCTTCAAAATCATCTTTCTCAGAAAGGCACATAATGACCATAGATACCTTAAGATTTGTGTCATAAAATTGATAGATGATGGTTAAAACAAAGTTTACAATGATTATGTATTTTTTTAATCCTACTTTGGAGTTGAGCACAACCCAAAATATGGCGATAGTCATTGAAATTTCCAATTAAAATAAAAAATGTGCAAAAGAATCAAGATAACAGTTTTCATAGTCATCTGATTTTGCTTAATCCAACTCCAATTGGTTAACACAGTTTGCTTTATTTCTACAATGTAGGTTTTCATCGTTGGGTACGTTAAAGAACTAGTCTTAACTTGACTACTTACGTCTAAGACCAAAGGAAAATAGCTCTAAATTTTTTTCATCTAAACTATTTTTGCATATTTCTCCCTTAAGTAATTTAAAGAGGATCTGTGTGTGGCTTGATAATTTTGTTTGGTTTGTATGAAAAAATAGAAACTAGGATATGGGTAAGATTTTATGGTACAATATTAAGTAATTGACAATGTCAAGAATTTTATTTTACTTGGATCCACAAATTATACTCATGTAACCAGGACTCAAGAAATCAAAGATGTCTTGCTTTGGGGCAAATCTACTGCCAAGGACCTCTTAAGGTGCTGAAGAGCAAGCATGCTAGTTTAAAGACTAAGGTGCACCTGACCCAAACAATGCTAATTTCAATTGCTTTCAATGGCTTGAAAACTTGACAGTAAATAAGGAATATTATAGAGGAATTGATACTTTTGAACTGTAATGTTGCTGAAGAGCATTGGTAAATCATGGCTTGTGGAAAGAACAAACCAACCTGCTTTAATGGAAACCAGATTGTTTCTTAAAAGGATTATGAGACTGTCTCACATACCATGCACATATTATCAAGAGAGGTCAGTCCTTGGAGAAATACATCATGCTTGAAAAAGTAGATGTTCAACAGAGATGAAGATTCTTGCAGAGATGTATTGATACAAGAATGAGTGGCCTTAAACACAGCAGAGATTTTGAGAATGAGACAGCATTTCATTCTATTGTGCATAGGGTTATTATGCTATGGAGTGAAGGTAATGGCACCTAACAACAATATGTGATAGTGTTCTGCCTGTTATAAAGTAGTGACTTTTTTAAAAAACCTAGTAATCAATCATAATATTATGTATTTATTAAGTTGGAAAACCATCACTTATATTCCTCTTTGCTTTATAAGCAAGGGAGAATAAAAGTCTCTCTCTCTGGAATTTGAAAGCCAAGATAAAAATTCAAGTGTTGTAGTTAAAGCTTCTTTCCTTGAAAGCAGTAGTGCAGTGACTTCATTAAAGTTTTGGAGTCCTATTCAGAAAACATACAAATTCTAAAGTTGAACTCTGTGCCTGTGTAATGTGGGGGACATCTCTACACAATTTCTCTGGTGTAATTTGCGCTGAATAATGTATGAGTTGTGTAATAGCTCTGCAGAGCACCCTCATCTTCACAGAGCACCAGCTTTTCTGGTATTGCATCTTGAGCTTTCAATTTTTATCTGTGGGGTTTTTTTTTTTTCTCTTTATTGCATCTTTGGTAGTTGAAAGGAAAAGGTAGGGCAAGAAAGTTTGAGAATAGAAAATCTTTGGGATTTAGGAAATATACTGGAATTTTCATTGTATCTTGGTTGGAAAAATGATTTACTTTTTTTGAAAGGTATACACAGCAAATATATATCAATTAAATAACTTTTACACGTACAATTTAGTAATATTGGTTACATTCTACCAAGTTGTGCTACCTTTTTTTATATAATTTTAAAAGTTGTTTTACTATCATCAAGTACAAAATCCCTGCCCTTGAAGCTTCTTCTGTATTCCTATCTTCAGTCTGATCTCATGACATGAATCCGGTGCTCAACACACACATATCTTTCTAACTAACCTAAACTGCTATTATTTGATACTCACTTCCAGAGCACATATATGAAAATTGGAATAATACAGAAAAAAAAATAGTGTGACCCTATGTAAGGATGACAACAAATCTGGTAGCCTAATGGGCAAGGAGTTATGCTGCATGCCTGAAGGTAGGTGGTTCAAATCCGCCAGCTGCTCCACAGGAGAAAGATGTACAGTTTCTCCTGTGCAATTTATACCCTCTGAAAAACTGCTGGGGGGTTAGTTATGAGTCAATTTTGACTTATGGGACATAACAGAAACTGTTGTATGGTTTAAAGGTGACTTCAGGGGATCGTTTTGGTTTAAGATTTAAAGATATCTCAAGGCAATAGTTTCTCAGGTGAAGAGAAGTTATTCACCCTCAATGGCTATAAAAAGTCTGAATTCCTGAGAATCTGAATTTCTATCCAATAGAAAATGTATTTTCTCTAGGCTTCCTAAAACTAGGGTGTCTTTATCCTTAGAACACTGTCTGTGTTGCCAAAGAGTATAAATTTTACTTGAAGTATTAGAGGAAAAGTCAGTAGCAGGCACATTAGGGAAAGGAGAAGGAGAAATGTAACCAATTTAAGAGGAAAGCATTTTTATGTAAAAGGTTCGCCTGTGCCATGGAGTAAAATTTTAATAGTTTTTCATGGTAAGGCTCCGAAGTCTGAACACATTTTTTTATTTTTTCTAGATGCTTTGCAATGTGCTATGGATGCATGGAGGCCAAATTCACTTAATCCCCTCTTGATGATCACAAGATAACCGCAGCATCCACCACCGCCATCACCGTCACTACAACTGTCACTTCCATTACCATGATCACCATTAACACTATCACCAACATCACTACCACTGCTACCATCACCATCAACATCAGCACCACCACCACAATCACTACCACCTCCATGACCACCACCACAACAGCAGCAACACCACTGCTTCTTGAGGCTCCCTCTATACCAGGGGTTCACTAACTCCTTACTGTTGTTGTTCAATGTCAACCAAAACTCAGAGTTACCCTATGAACAACGGCTCTGAACTTTGCCCTATTGTGAGACAACTTCACCATCTCCGACATACCTGACCCCACAACCACAGTCACTGTGTCATCGAGGGTCTTCCTCTTTTGTGCTGACCTTCTTCTCTTCCAAACATGATCTCCTTTTCCAAAGACTGGTTCCTCATGACAACATGGCCAAAGTAAGTGAGACAGAGTTTCAAAATTCTTGTCTCCAAGGAGGTTTCATCCTCTCTCCAGGAAAGACCTATTTATTCTTTTAGTAGTTTATCAGTTCAATACTCTTCTCCAAGACCACGGCTGAAAGGCTGTCTTCTGTTATCCTTAATAGTTTTCCAGCTCTCAGATGTATAGCAAACAACTGAGAGAACTGTGGATTGGTTCAGGTGCACTTGAATTTCTACAGAACTCTGGAGAGGTCCTTGACACCAGATTTTCCCAATGCAACTTGTCTTTTTATTTCCTGATAGCTATGTTAAGGATCTGAGCAGGTGTGGATCTGAGCAAGATGAGATTATTAACAACATCAATCTTTTGTATCCCTATCACATGATGCTGCCTCTTGGCCTGGTCATGAGAATTTTTATTTTCCTCATGTTGAGATACAGTTTATATTGAAGGCTACAGTCCTTGATCTTCTGCAACAAATGCTTCAAGTCTTCCACAGTTTCGAGGAGCAAGGCTGCGTCATCTGCATAACACAGCTTGTTGATGAGTCTCCCTCCAATCCTGATGTTACATTCTTCTTCCTAAAGTCCGATCTCTTGACTGATCTGTTTAGCATACAGATTGAAAAAAATATGGAGGATGGATACATCTTTGATGCACTCCTTTTTTGTATATAGTGTGGCTGAGAGTTCTAAGGCATTGGATTTAAGCTCCAGTCTCTTTGGAGGTGTGGGTTTTGAATCCCATCACTACCAGGATTGACCTCCCTCATGGGCATCAGGATTGGAGTTATACTCATCAACAACCTATGTTATGCAGATGACACAATCGTGCTTGCTGAAACTGAAGACTTGAAGCGCTTGCTGCAGAGGATCGAGGACTGTAGTCTTCAATATGAAGCTTAACATAAAGAAAACAAAGATTCTCACCACTGGGTCAAGTGACAGCACCATAATAGAGGGAGAAGAGATTGAGGTTATTAACAATTATAGATTGCTTGGCTCCACAATCAACACTTTTAACACCAGCTTTCAGGAAATCAAAAGACAAATGCATTGGGAAAATCTGCTGTCAGGGACCTTTTGAGAGGGCTGAAAGGCAATGATGTCAGTATAGAGACTAAGTTATACCTAATCCAGGCCATGGCCTTCACAATTACTTGTTATGCTTCAGAGAGTGGAACAATGACTAAGGATGACAGAAGAATTGATGTCTTCGAGTTGTAATGCTGGAGAAGAGTCTTGAACATACCATGGACTGCCAAGAAAACAAATAAATCTGTCTTGGAGAGAGTGAAACCAAGCCTTTCCTTGGAGGCTAGGATTCCTTCTCACATATTTTGAGCACATGGCCAGGAGAGACCAGTCCTTGGAGAAGGACATAATTTTTCAAAGGATGGAGGGACAGCACAGGAGCAGAAGACCCAGGATGAGATGGATTGATACAACAACTGGGCCTATGGGGGTTGGTGTGTCAGAATCAGTGAGAATGGCTCAGGACAAGACAGGGCTCAGAGATGCTGTATATAAGGTTGCTTGGGTTGCAGGCTACTTAAAGGCACATAACAACGACATATCTGCCTGGTTTATTAACACTTCTGCAGAAGGTGTCAATGTAATTTCTTCTGCTATTAAGGAGTTGTAGGAGACTCATGAAATATTATTCAAAATGGGTGGCCATGGAGGACATTATGCTGAGTGAAATATCTAAGACACAAAAGGACAAATACCGCATAGTTCCACTGTTGTAAAAAGGGAACTAACATCGGGTTTTGGGGGAGACTGAGGAAGATGGGATAAATTACATATACTACATTGAAACAGATGAGAGAGAGAACTATTTAAAAGGGGTATGTGATTAGATATTATTGTCATAACAGGAGTCCAGAACAAAGGCTGCATAGTGGAGTGGACCTGGGGGGAGGGATTGTATAACAATGGAAGAATTTTTCTTTTACTTTTCAAAGAAAAGAGTGAACTGGGGTGGGGGAGGGGACATGGAGAAAAGTGTAACAATGAATGAATGGAAATCCAACGTCTCTGTAAATTTTCATTAAAATTAATGATAATAAAAATTAGTAAAAAAGAAGATGTAGGAGAAAGATAAGGGATAAATATCTTCCCTCCATTTTCTAAAGGGCCAGCTAGGAGTCAGTTCCCATGGTAAAGAAAAATAAAAATAAAAGTTAATACAAACAATTGTTATAAATAGCTGAAGCCTCTCTAGCTGTTGCTCCATTTTACAGATAAGGACATTTTTTTTCAATATTCCACCCAAGAATCTAAGTATAAAAACAGAACACAAGCCAAAAAAGTCAGAGAAGCTTGAGAAATGCCATTTCAGGAATACTTTAGGATAGAACTGCCAACCAAGCACAATAAGAAGTCAATGCATGGGAATTTTTAGGATTCTAGTTTACTTATTCTTGATTGACTAGAGGACTCTTGATGATCTAGTGTACTAGATGTTTGAGCTGCTAACAGAAAGGTGAGTGGTTCAAGACCACCCAAAGCTCATGGAAGAAAAAGAAGATAGTCAGTCCACTCCTGTAAAGATTTGCATCAGTTTTACTTTGCCCTACAAGATCACTATGCATTGGAATTGACTCCATGGCAGTGAGTATTTAGATAGAGTGTAGTCCACTGTTAAAAGTACTTTGAGAAAGTGTTTCTGTTTAAATTTTCAGGTGAAACTTTCCTATCCATCTACATCTATTTTATGGTATATAAAATGCAGAGAACAATAACAACATTAAGTTGCTTACTAAGTGCCAAAATGGTTGCAAATTAATCCACCAACCACTCCTAGGAATGAAGATGAACAAAACAGTTTCTGTAAATATTCCCAGCCTTGGAAAGTCTAAGGAGTCAGTTGTTCTTTGGAACTAAAATACTCCTGAGGATCATGCAAAAGTGGCTAGAATGGCTAGAGAACAGCCAGACTTTCAAACTGGATTTAGAAGAGCCATAGCACCAGAGATGTCATTGCTGATATCAGATGGATCCTGGCCAAAAGCAAAGAATTCCAGAAGAATATCTATTTGTACTTTAATGACAATGCAAGGCACTTGACTGTATAGATCATAACAATTTATGGCTAACATTATAAAGAACGGAAATTCCAGAATGTTTGTGCTCTTGTAAAAACTATACCTAGAGGCATGAGGTTTTTGTATGAACACAGCAAAAGAATGCTACGTGGTTTAAAATTGGGAAAAGTGTATGTCAAGGTTGTATCATTTCTCCATACTTACTTAATCTATATACTAGAAAAAATACCCAAGAAGCCGGACTCTTATGAAGAAAAATGTGACATCAGGATTGGAGTAGCACTAATCAATAACCTTCGTTATGCAAATGACACAAACTTGCTTACAGAAGTGAGGTGGACTTGAAGCACTTGCAGGTCAAACACTGCAGCCTTAAATATGAGTTGCATCTCAACATCAAGAAGATAAAAATCCTTACAACTTCACTGGCAGACAACACCATGATGGAGAAAGGAGTGAGACTGTCAAGGACTTAATCTTATTTGGATTCACAATGAGTACACCTAGTACCAGCAGTCAGAAAGTCAGGACATGTATTGCATTGAGAAAATCTGTAGTCAGAGACCTTTACAAATTATTGAGGAGTAATGATGTCGGTTTGAGGACAAAGATGTACTCAATTCAGGACATGGTCTTTTCAGTCACTTGCGATGCATCTGAATTATGGACAATGACTAAATATGACAGAAGAATTGATGCCTTTGAACTGTGGTGTTTGAGGAGAGTGTAGAAGATCTCATGGACTGCCAGAAGACCAAACATGGTTCTTGGAGAAGGTACAGCTAGAGTGCTCCTTGGAGGCAAAGATGATGAAACTTCATCTCACATACTTCGGGCATGTTGCTAGGAGAGGAGACTCTTTGGAGAGGGACACCATGCTTGGAAAGGTAGAGGGGCAGTGAAAGAACAGCATACCTTCAACCAGATGTTTTGACACAGTGACTGTGGAGATGGGCTTGAATGTGTCAGAGGTTGTGAGGATGGGATGAGATAGGACTGTGTTTAGATCAGTTGTTCATAGGATCATTGTGAATTGTGTGCAATTCTACAATATAGAACAACGACGATTGTTACAGTGAGTGTGTGTGTGTGTGTGTCAAAACATTTCCTGTATGCTTTATATGCATCATCTCTTTAATTTCTATAATTTAGTAACGTTATTATGATAACAAAAACTTGTTAGCAATCATAGAGTTGATTCTGACTCTGTCAGTAACCCTATGTGTAACATAAAGAAACGTTTCTAGGTCCTACATTACCCTAACAGTAGCAGATACTGTGTCAGTCCATTTGCCACACTGCAGCAATCCTGGAAGTTATTTCATCGGCATTTCAAATACCAGCAGGACCACTCAATTACGACAAAGAGGAACTTGACTATCCCTGCTTGTCTCCCTCAAAAATAACCGGTGAAAACTTTATGGACAGTGGCTAAACATCATGAATAATATCCTTAGTTTATAGAGGAGAGGATTGAATGGAGAGACATTAGGCAATTTCCTAAATTCACCCTTCTGTTAAGGATTGAAAGGAGCTGCATTGCCAACTCAAACGCTCCTTGTTGGAATCCACCAAATGCTTCTCAGGATAAAAATGGGCAATTTATTGTCTCTGAAAACCCACGAGAGAGTCAGCTATGAGACAGCTTCCTCTTGATGGCAATGACAAGGAGCTAGACAGTTGCAGCTTCCACTGGACAGGAACTTTATTTTCTAGATATTAAGTCGCTCTGAGATTTA